TTTGCCATGTCCAATATTTATTTAACTTGGGATAACGAGGACATGGGCATTTATGTCTTTTATTTACTGGGCTTTTTCCTAGCCATAAAAGTACAATAAAAGAAAATAAAGAAAAAAAAATAGCAGTGTTGTCAAATCAGGATAGTGAGTCGGGTTCCTGCCTGACTCAAAATTGACCCGTCCCGAATATTGAACGAATCAGAAAGTCTAACCCGAACATGACCCGCCATTAACTGGTCAACTCGATCCCCACCCGTTCAACCCCAAAAAAAATAAAAAAAAAATATTAAAATTTTTAACAAAAATTCGACTCAAAAATTAATTGGGTCAACTCAAACTCAAATTTTTATAGTTCAGTCTAGTTGGCTTATCCAGCCAAATTTTGACATCGCTAGCTATCCAGTATCCCTACCGTAGCTCTATCATTGTCTAGCACCTAATCATTTCATATTTACATGCATACCACCCAAATTTTTTCCATCACATAAAAAGTAACCATCAAATTTTCATCTATAGGTTTATAAATGTTATAAATATAAATATCAACTTTTAGGTATTAGATATATAATCGATGAATTTATATAAATTTATTAAGGACTCTTATAATCACCATTAAAAATGAGATTAGCCAAAAGAGTTTCCAGCTCCTCAATCGGCTCTTAAACGCGCGTTGTGGCTGGATTGCACGCCAGCTGTGTCAAGGATAGTTGTTTACATTCAGGGACACCGTTTGATTCAGATTAATGACAAGTAGGTTCCGGCGATGATGATACCGTGAAAGGCACCTCTTTCGATGGAAAAATTACTTCGTCCAGACAGGACTCTAGATGAGCTGAGCTTGAGCGAGCTCAGATTGGGCTTGTGTTCGGTTCATTCGAAATTGTTCGTTTTCGAAATCGGCTCGTGTTCGAAAACGGCTCGTGAACAGTGTGTTCGTGTTCGGCTCAAAATTTGCTCGTTAAAATGAAACTGAAAAAATAGATGTAGAATGTTGGATTCGAACCTGAATAAAATGTGTGCAAAACAAGACACATAACCACATTATCACAAAAGCAGTTACAATTTAAACTTAGATATAAATATGTGTATATATTATAAAAATAATATGTGTAATATATTTTTATATAAATAATTATATATATATTTTTTATTTCGAGCTAAACGAGCCGAACACGGGCGAACAAAGAGTTGTTCGTGTTCGGTTTGTTTATAATTCGAGCTTTAAAAACTTGTGTGTTGACTCGTTTACTTAACAAACGAGCCGAACATGAGTTGTTCGCGAACGAAGAGCTTTTTTGACAGCCCTACTCGCGGACACCGCACGCAATCCGATCAGGATCGTAAAAAAATTTAGAGTGGACCCCACTCTAATAAAAATAAATAAATAAATGTATTTCAGTAGTTCGGATCAGACACCACACACAAATTTACGTGTGGTGTCCGGTCACAAATTTACGTGAGTTGTCCGTACACAATAAGCGCTCCTACTTGATTGGTTGGCAAACTATACGATCCACCTGCCCTTTCTAAAGAAATTATATTCAAGAATACAAATATTTACATATATTCCACTTAATTTCTATATATTTACATAGTTACCCCGTTAATTTTTATATACATGTCAGTATCACTTGAAAGTTTAAATAAAGATATTCCTAATGTGATGCAAAAATTTTGTTTGATACCAAAAAAAAAAAAAAAAGAGTTTTAAGTGTTAGATATGTAAAAACATGGAATTGGATGGCACGAATGTAAAAAAAATATTTGCGAAGAAATTTCATAGTAGCTTGGGTCTGTTTGAGACAAATTTTCGCTTGTTTTGAGTTTCATATCATCACCACAGTTTAGTCTTTTGGAACAGTTAACTAACTGTTTTCTAAAAATTTTTGTGGCCGGAAGTTGCTCTTCCCAACTTGACATGTTAAAATGCCTTGGTTATAACAAAGCTATTCTTTGATTTTTTTTGAAAAAAAGTAATTGCACCCCAACTTTCAGATAAATTTTCTTCACCACAACTTTACAATCGTCTTTTTTTAAAAAGCTAGTCACTACAGACAAAGCCTTATATGGTGAAAGTACGTTTGGGGCGGCGGTGTGGTGGTAGTGTGGCAACACACCATAGTTTTGTCTATTTAGGTAAGCTGCGGTGACAATTTTCTAGCTACAGTTTGACTTTTCTTAAAATATATATATATAATAGCATCTACAGCTTTTTGAACATCAGATTTTTTTTCAGCAACATCAAAACTAACTTTTAATAAGCTTCAGCTGCCTCAAACAGACCGATCACATTTGTGCACACACACAAAAATATATATATATAACATAGTGGATTAAATATTTTTTGGTTGAATGCCTAAGCTCTTAACTAATAACCTAATTATTTGTATAAAATTATATTTTATTGACACACAAGAAGTCATAAAATAAATTCAATTAAATTAGACATATCTTAATGTGACTAGTAAGATATGATAAAGATATAAAGATAGTCATTGTTGGATATGCTTTGATTTGACTAACTAAAACTTCATTGATTGGCTCATATTACTAATCTGAGTGTTGTGGGTCATTTTAAGGCCTAAAGTATCTTATATAATTTTATTCCCCATTTTAACCTTGATTTTTTACATTTATACCACCAAAATCTTTTATATCACATGAATACCGCTATTCTAAACTTTTAATTAAGTGAAAAATATATCTTTTCATTCATGGATAATGTGACATATATGTATAAAGTGAAGTTTAGGTGCTCGATATGTAAATACATTAGAATTGAGTGGTATGCATGTAAATCTTCCTTTTTATGGTATTTATTAGCATATGCTATGCTTTTAAATGGCCCACATTTTAAAACAAAACTAAATTTGGATTAAAAAAAGATGTTTTTAGAAATTAATTTTATCTTTGTTGAATCTATTTAATAGGTAGGGTTTTGTATTATTCGTGAATTTGTACAATCCCGTAAAGACCCTATTTTTAAGAGGAATGTATGAAAAAAGATGATGGATGTATTGCACGAGCTTTTGTTTTTGAGTCTATATTTTCTTCGGATTCCCGGGTTGCCGGGAAAGGCTCGGAGTAGGGCTGTAAACGAGCCGAGCTTGAGCGAGCTCAGGCTTGGCTCGTGTTCGGCTCGTTCGAAATAGCTCGTGTTCGAAATCGGCTCGTGAACAGTGTGTTCGTGTTCGGCTCGATTTAAATATTCGTGTTCGTGTTCGGCTCGAAATTGGCTCGTTAAACTAAAATTGAGAAAAATAGATGTAATGTGTGAGATTCGAACTGGATCAAATCTATATAAAAGAAGACACTAACCACATTGCTACATGAGGCATTATGATTTAAATTTAGACGTAAATATATATAATATATTATTATATAAATAAAATATGTAATATATTGTTATATAAAAAATTATATAATTTTTTTTATCGAGCTATTTCGAGCCGAACACGAGCGAACAAACTGTTGTTCGTGTTCGGCT